AAATAGTTCTAATCACATGGTTCTAATTCATGAACCAAACGTCTCTTCTACCTTTATAATGATGTAAAAGATATGAGAAAAATTATTTCAACAGGAATTTAGAGAGAACTTATTTATAAGAGTCAACTTGGACAAAGGGGAAAAGAAGCTCACTCTAAAAGCCCGTTCTGAAAACGTAAAATAAAAAATAAAAAATAAAAAAACCCACAAACACACAAACAAACAAAACAAAAAAACAAAAACAAAAAAAACCAAAAAACAAATTATCAGAAGAAAACGATATGAAGGAGAAAACAAAAAAGAAAAAAAAAACGTAAAAGAAAAAAAACCTTTGGAGAAACGTTTCATTAGCTTTAACAAAACTCATTCTATCTTTATGCTCTTATTACCAAAACTCTCTCCCTCTCTCTAGGATTTCTTTCTTTGCTTTGTGTGCTGCTATCTTTTTTCTTTTAGGGCCGGAGTCCGTCGCCACCCCTTGGCTGGTAGCCGAGCCCTCCGTCTAGGTCCCATGGCGATGATCATGGTGGTGGTGGTGACTTCGTGGGCAGAAAGAACAGACGATATGTGTTAGCTATTTGGCCGATCATATTGTGTGCGTCGAATCTTCAACATCCCTGCAACCTCAAGATTTCTCTCCTCATCGTGATGGTCGTAGAGGTGGGGGTTATACGTGGATGGGTACTCAACTCCAATGGTTTTGTCGCGCGGGTCTTCACTAGTGCTATATTAGTGTCTTTCTGTGGTGGTATTGCATGGATCCTCACTTATCTATCATCTATGTTCTTGATGGTCATCTTGTCATTGGTAATCTTGTTTGTGTGGATAGGGGCTTTTGTCTTATTTTTTTGTTTTTATTTTAATGTAATAAAAGTGATGTTAATTCTGCCATTTCAGCGTTTATTTTTCATTGCGTAATAACGAAAAGTGTCACCTCACTTTTCTAGGTCTAGTCTGTTAGGTTTAATCCTATGCAATGTTGTGAGTGACTTTAGTGTTTTGAGTCTTTTGGCCTCGGTCAACTGATTTTATTCATCAACTGTAGTGGTTTTGTCAAACGAGCTTTTGTCATGCTCTATTATTAATGTGTTGAACGGGCATTTTTCCTCTAGGTCTCGATACTAGTGTTCGCCTTTGCGCTTCATTCGTCTTTTCTAGTGGATTCAGTATTTATCCCTGGTCGAATACCCTTATATTTAGTGGTCATTTGTGATTATGTTAGAGGTTTGTATTAACTTAATTATTAAATAAAATTTTCCTATTAAAAAAAACTTATTCTATCTTTATAATGATGTAAAATATGAACTCTTTAAAATGGTATCTCTGATCATCCCATCTTTTGGTCGGCAGGCGTGGGAAAGAAAGTGAGAGAAGAGAGAAGGAAAATATATTTGATGGGAAAAAAAAAAATCTAAGGCTAAATGCTTATTGTTAATTTTTACTGTTAGAGAAACGTGTTATTTAATGTAAAAACTTTTTGAAAAGTGCAAAAATCAATCCAACAACTTGTACACATTATTGCAATTCTCATCAATAAAGTGTAAATATTAGAAGATCTTCGAAGATTTTAAAGATGAGTTTTAAAAAGCTACCCTTTTCGTGAAAAGTACAAGTACATCAGTTTTTTTTTTTCCTTTGGCATAACTATGGATGGCAACGAGGAAAAACAGATTTTGTAATGATTTTTAGGGTCTGTTTAGGATAGTTTTTTAAAAGTTGTTTGAAATTGTTTAGATGATGACATGTGAGACGTGCTTTGACATTTTAAAAAAGCTTCCAGTCAAATTTAGAAAATGTGACTTTTAAAAAAAAAACACTTTTAAATAGATCTTAAAACTTATACCAAAATTTAATTAAGGCATTAAAAACTTAATTTCAATACTTTTATTATTTATTAAAAATTTTAAAAATTATTTTGACGACCCATCAAGCTCTTGATTTCAAATGGTGCTTATTGAAAAGCCACAACTTTTGTTTTATTTTTTTATTGGCTAAAAGTAAAAGTAAAAGCCATGCCAAACGAGCTTGAGAACGATAATTTATTAAATACAGATCTTGTGAAGTGTGGTATGAGCAAAGATGATATAATTGCACAACAATAGAAGAGGAACACGATGAGGACATAAAATTTGAGAACTAAGTTTAGTGATACTTAACAAGCTAAATATCTTATCTGTCTATCAATGATTTTACATCACTGAATTCATATTTCCCAACAAATTGTACAATAATATTGTTTTATGAATATTAGTGATTAAATATGCCATCATGTGACATACGAGAATGAAGACTTTTCCACTAACGTATGCCCTCAACTACTAAATTTCAAAGCTTATCTTGTTGATTATAACTTATCTGATGTAGAAATTTTGTAATAACAAATCAACAATTTCCAACCACTATATGTTCTTTTTCATGAGTAGTCATACAGGAAACAAAAAAAGGAATAAAAATCACAGTCTTTCTAGTGAGACAAATAATGTGTCTTTTGTGTTTGACATAACTCTATTACGATAGTCATTAACGTAACTTATTCTTTGGGTTAGAAATTTTATTCTTTGTCTGCCATATTTTCAAGTTTTAGCAATTAGGGGGTCCACATCAATGAGAGAACTCATTACCTTGATCGTTGGGTTTGGTCCCATGTTGTTTACTTGACCGACTCGATTGGTAGTTTTTGTTTCATGTAGACTTGTTATCTATTGTGTTAAAAATTTAAAATAATAGTACCAAAAACAGTAAAATGAGGGAATTCCCTCTTCATCTCTCATTAATTTTTTTCTTTTCAATTGAGAAAAATAATTTTGTGAATGTTATTTTATGTTATGGATTGAAATTCCACAACTAATTAATGTTAATTTTTTAATAATTTTAAGATATGAGATGATTCCAAAAAAAGGACGCTTAGCAATAACCTGTTTGGAATATTGGTTCCACTATTAGTTAGTTTGGTAGTGCTGTAGATTTTTAGAAAAATTGTTATTAGCTGTGCTGAAAAAAAACAACTGTTATAAAAAACAGCTCAGTGTTTGATAACTGTAATTATACAAGTGTTGTTGGTTCCAAAAGAAGTATAATACTGTTTAGTAAATTGTGAGGTTTAATTGTTATGGGTAGTTAAGATAACCAAAATAGATATGATATGAAATTTAAATATGTATAATTTTGTTTGTTATTAAGAAATACTTGTTTAACTTTAAAAAAAAAAAAAAAAAAAAAAACACACACACAATTTCTTCATGAGTTTGGAAACATTAAATTTATAATAATTAATATTTTTTTATTTTTTTATTCACAATATATAGTTACAACAAAAATGAGCATTAATGAGTAATCAACATATATAATCTAATTTATCATAATAGGGACAAAATATACATTTCATTATCAAAAACTCGTGACCTCATTTTATATATAACGTATTTACTGTACGTGGCTAGAACAATAGACGTAAAGCTCACATTTCAAAAAGTTTTTGATCACCCAACCTAAGCACACAAAAATATATATATATATTCTGATTTCTGCTTTCTGGGCACTACAAATTCTTCCGTAATTACTCTTTTACTTTTTTACAAAACACAAAAAGAGCCCCAACTTATTAAAAAAGTGATTTTGGCTGGTTCAAAAGCAATATCAAACATAACCTTAGTCCTCATCCCATTCCCGCTTCAAAAGAGGCGGTCCGGGGCCAGAGACTTTCTATTAGGGGACATTTCCTTTATCGGTTTAATTTTTTTATCTAATATAACTATGTTTTTCTAAATTATAGCAATTCAATATATATTAGTTAATTTCTCTTCCTCTCGTGTTTTTAGAGGCGGCTAGGGTTTCTCGTTTTAATTTTCTTCTTAAGGCTGGAGTCTTGACGTCGCCTCTGGCTAGTTGAAACGGTGGTGGTCGTAGTGGACGGATCTGGGAGGGATGATGTATGGGGTGCTTGCTGCTTGAGATGGAAGTTTTGGGGTGCGATATGATGCGAGATGTTTCCAGTGCGTCTATGGCATAAGGGTCTCGATCCTGATAGTATAACGCTTCTTTTAGAGATCTTCATATTTAGTTTTGTGGTCGGTAGTTATACTCCATTCATGACAGCTCCTCTTAGATTCAATTACCTACTTCATGACACGATGGCCGACTTTTTGCCGTTGAGTCTTCCCTGTTGAGTCACCCTAACTCAAACATGTAAAAGTAGGCACCCTAAAACTCATAAACTCTGGAGGGTAATTTTCTCTATACTCTTCTTATTAACTTGACCAAATAACCCAGCCCACGATGGATGTGCCGTGCCTAAATGGACCACAACACACTTTGGGTGATCCATACTAAAAATTCCTAAAAGTGGCAGGAAAAAGAAGAGAGTAAACTTGTAAGACCATACACGTCAATGTCAATATCTAATATTATAAATTTCAAACTAAATATTATATTCTATATATTTTGTACTCCAATATACAGTAGTGTGGTTTTAATTGCTACTTAAATATTTACTCCTCAATGAACATTATTATTTTAACTATAAAATATTAAGTTGTAATAAATTTGATGGTTAACAAAAAAGTAATTAATGAGATTGGATAACATTATCACCACAGAAGCGTAAAAACTCATCCATGTATAATGCTATTATCTACTTTTGTCATAGTTATTAAGTCTTTGAAACTTATAAAGGAAAATATATAAGATTATAATCTTAAAATAAAAAGAAAAATACATCAACCAATAATAAAGAAATATCAAATTTTATCATATGTCATGGTTGGCTGCTAATTTGACTGGTGTATGAAATATGTCAATTTAGCGCCCCCCCCCCCCCCCAAAAAAAAAAAAAAAAAAAAAAAAACTGAATTTAAAGTAATTTTTTCCTATTTAATTATTACTAAATTTTAATATTGACACAATAATTGACTCTGCATTGGAGATACTCTAACAAGCACTGCTACAAACTTTATGAATAAAAAAATATGTTACGTACATTACTCATTAAGAACATGTTGGAGATGAAAAACAATGACTATAACCTTTATTATATCGATCTATACATAAAAGAATAGGATATTTAGAGTCTGAAGTGTAAGAAATTGAGGTCTAGGATGTTTAGACTCTGAAGTGTAAGAAATTGAGGTCTATTTCTTCTTGAAGCCTACGTTGTGGAGGGAACTTGGGCAGAAGATGAGCAATGTCCTTGGCAGTCTCCAAGAACATTGCAAACTTGTTGACCATTATTCCATTGTGTTTAGTCTCTGCATTGTTGCTTTGTTTGAACACTTCATTTTCTGTCTTCATTGCTTTTACATTATTATTGGAATTATTCTTCTTGACAAGGCATAAAAGTGCCTTCTTTCTGGCAGTCCAGCCACCTGTTCTCAAGCTGAAGTCATACAGAGTGAGGAATCTCTGTCCATAGGTAGCTATGAATTCCAATGCAGCCAAAATGAACTCGAATTCATCGTTGGCCATGTAGTAGGGAAAACTTATCCTTGTCCATCCAGGTTTTACTCCCAGAAAGCCCTATCCATAAAAAATAAAAAATAAAAATATTACGGAGTGCCCAAAACAATGAATGACACCAAAATTTTCAAGAAGACACCCTTGTACACGTATCGCAGTCCGAAATTTCAATCTTTTTCTATAAATGAGATCATGTAACATGTACGAGGGTGTAATTACCATTCAAAATTGAATAGTCATCTCAATTTGGGGCACTTTATAATACAACATACGTTATTAAATTGAAGAAATAATTTTTACGAATTAAAAGTTTAGACGATAAGTTGTTAATTGTAAATAGTTTAGGGAACAAACGCGCCAAATGCCGAAAAAAATATTTAAATTTGCTTTTATATTTCTTTATGAGATTTAAGAGTATTGATAAAATAATAAAAAAAAAAAAAACCATTCACCTTTTTAATTGCAGATCTGTAGGCATGTGAATGAGGCTCATCAACTTTGAGCAGGGCATGACCATATGGTCCGGCACAGGCGCACCCACCTCTAGCCTGGATGCCAAACAGGTCATTGAGCAAGGCTGCAACAAAAGGTCCATGAAGAGGCTTATCTCTGCTGTTGCCAGTCTCTCTCCACATGTATAGCCCTTCTTCCTCATTCTCATTATTTGTTCTATAATTGTCATCACAACAATTTTTTAGATCTCTTGAGTAGGAATTTGATGTGGAATAAATGAGGAACGACAAAATTGCTTGTCGTTTAGCACTTGTATTTCCTAAAACTTGTATGCTCTTGTTTGGGAGAAGCCTTTTTATTGCCTTTTGTATGTAGATATTTTCTTGTCTTTCTATCACCTCATAGCCCACGTATTCTTTGACCCAAAAAGCCAATGCTGCTCTTATTGTCTGGATTATTTGAGGGGTGCCAGCATTTTCCCTCTCTTCAATGTCCTCATAATACAATGTATCCTGCATCCATGAAATAGTAAATTTAAGAACTTTTAATTTAAATCTTGAAATTCTGTCGTAGGATATAATTATAGGTAAAGTCTTAAATCTGACACCCTGACCAGTCAGACGTAACTTTTATCATATGTACGTGTAACATTGTTGATTCTTACATGTCATTTTTTTTTCATATACTCATGTAATTGGAGTTATTTTGTGGTTTGAATTACTTTCCTTTTTATAAATTAAAAACTGTAGAGAAAACAAATGTGATATTACCAATAAATTAATGAGGGGAAAACATGGATAATTATTCTCAAAATAGGAGGGCTTTAATTGTTTCTTTTTTACCTTTTCACTGAAGCCATTTACATAAGCAACAGTTCCACCTCCACAGGTTGATGGGGCAGAGGATCTCAACCGGTAAAGAGCCTTGCTCATCAAAACTATGCCTGGGGTTCCAGGACCCCCAAGAAACTTGTGTGGACTGAGAAAAACAGCATCATAGCCGTCCATCTTTCCTGATCTCATGTCAATCTCCAAGTAAGGACCACTGATAGTACAGACAACGAAAATTCAATGTCATTTAGGAAATAAAAATATAAACACCTAAATAATCAAGAACAAATGCATGACATAACCAACTCAGCAAATCCATGAGGGAAACTTCCAATATGTTTTAGTGAAATGTTGCGTTTTATATTATATTTTCAGGAATGCTTTATTCTGCCACAATTTTTAAAAACTCAAGGGTAAAATGTAACATTTGGATAAAATATGAGAGAAGATAATGAATATAAATGGTGGTTTTCTATTTATATGTAGGTGCCCATAATTATCTATCACTAGATGGGACAGCTATATATATATATATATATATAACAGCATGTTTGCAATTTTCATTTCCTCTAAATGTACGTATAACTTGAGCAAATATATATCTTAAGCCCTACCATGCTGCAAAGTCAAAACAGGCAAAACCTCCATATTGGTGGAGAAGTTGTGCTATTGCTTTAGTATCTGAGTTGATCCCAGTCACATTACTGGAAGCAGAGAAAGAGCCCAAAATAGGCCTATGTGCATACTTGTAAGATTCCAGCTTTAGCCTTAAAGCTTCCATATCCAATAACCCATTTTCATCTAAACCAATCTCAACTACTTCAGCCAAGCTTTGCCTCCATGAAAGAAGGTTTGAATGGTGTTCAAAAGGCCCGACGAAAACGACCCATTTTTCTTCATTGCTTAGGATCTTCATCGCCCTCTCTCTTAAGATAGATGGTACGGCAATTCCCATCACCTCTTGCAGCCTCTTTATGGCTGCAGTTGTGCCCGAGCCGCAGAAGAAGAGGGCATCGTCTTGTCCACCTCCTAAGCATTTCTTTATGTAGTCGGCTGCTTCATGCACCATTTTTGTCGTTCGATGCCCTACGTGACTGTCGCACGTGTGCGTATTTCCTGCATTTTTAACATGAGGAAAAAATTATGTTTTGTTTTTCCCCCTTGGAGGAGAATTCCGCGTTTATAGGGTATTGAACAATACCCACCAGTAAAACATAATTTTTAACCGTCAGAGCATTACATTATATTAAAAAAAAAAAAAAGTAAAATAGTTTAACTGACGAATATAGCTATATGAGCACTCTTTGTTTTACTAGTAGGGTAGGTTATGAAACATTGGCCTTTTTATAAAAACAGAGTTGAAATGATGTTGGCAGCATCTGTCCTCTTGTATATAATATATATATATATATATATATATACATATTTTTGGTCCATTATTTTATGCTTAGAATTATGTCTTTAGGTCAATTTGGTCAACTACGTATATAGCAAGTATAAGGAATATATATCTATGGTCAGCTTAGTTCGTGCAAGTTAAACAAATCATTTCATTTAAATCTCAAATTCTCTATGTTACTCAAATGTTGCTCTACTTAAGCATTCAATATTATGGAGTTTGAGTCGAATTCTTCCAAACTTATTCCAACATGATAATAATGAAATATGATAATAAATTGCTATATATATATATATATATATATATATAAGGACAGATGATGATTTAATATTTTAACTTGGTAATTTTAACAAGTTGACAACACGATCACCACTTGCTTTTAAAATATATATAGCTGTACTCTTGCCTCATTAAAACAACCACTGTTACTCAAAAACGGTAATATCTACCTTTTTGAACGTGTCTAATTATAAATAATATTGGTCGGGTTTGAAATTAATTTTGTTTTTATTTTTCATGTTTTTTGAGAAAGAAAAAATGAAAACGTTTTCAAAACGGTGTTTGGCACAATAAAGACAAAAACGGAAATGATAACGATTTTTTAATTTAGTGTAAAATGAAAGAGAAAGATAGACATTAATGGGTTTTTTACACTGAAAATAATCTCTTGATAAAACTACCAAACGCATTTTTAAAAATGATTTCTGTCTGAGATTGAAAACGTTTTCATTTTCATTTTCATACAAAAAAATAAAATCATTTTAGAACGAGTTCCAAACGCGCCCAATAACACTTATCTTGTGGTCCAAACATGGCGTCTCCAAAATGTAATCTTCCAACTCATACCCTTTTTTTTCTTTTTTTGGTATATATATGAAATGATGACAATGCATTAAATGATGAAAATAAAGCATTAAATAACACAATAATTAATTACACGTACCATAGAAAGGAAGAACATTGTCGATGATGAAGTTCTCAATATAGAGAAGGGACCGGCCAGAAGCGGTGTGATCAGCATAAGTGAGTCTTCGCTTTCCGAAGGGAGAGTCATATTCAACGTTCCCACCAATGATTTGAGAGCGAAGCCAAGACAATCTCACCTGATCTTCACAACTTTTCGGGACGTCCATTTCAAGCGATCTGAAGGAATCTGAACGGTTGCAAAGGCCATTCGAGTTATACGATGATTGCGAATAATTAGAAGAAGAGCTTGATGTTTTGGAGGATATTTGTCTAACTTTGTAATTGATCCTCACATGATTAGTAGTGGTACTAGTTATTTTGCTTGTGATCTTTGGAGCATTTTTAGTACTCGTACTAATTATACTAGAACTATGATCAGATCTTGTTATTGGTTGCTCCAACTCCAGTTCCATTTTGTTACTTCCCTGCTGTGAGTTGAACAACGTCAGAGGGACAGAAATGGTGAGAATATTATTGGGGTACTGGAATTTGTTGAGTTATTCAAAGAGTAGGAATCAAGAATATTGCAGAAGGAAGACAGAGAAGAAACGAAAAGACGATGGGGAAAGAAATAATGAAAAATAATAGGTAATTTAAAGGGGTCAGAAGACAGGATAGGGCATGCATTCAATGGGCTAAATTCATATATAAGTGGGCGTCTTAGATCAGCTGCCAATGTTATTGAAAACCTTTCAACAATTCTACCCAAAAAAAAAAAAAACATTATTATTATTATTATTATTATTATTTTTTGTGAGAACTAAAGAAAACGTTATTAAATACGTTATATTAAATAGCTGTATAATTTTGGTAGGCAGGACTTATCTGAGGCCGTGAGCATGGTAAGACATATTTTCTTCCGGTCCACAATTAATATTGCATCTAAAACGTGTGGTTGGATTTATACAATAATAAGAACGTGTACGTATAATGTGTGTACATATATATATATATATATACACTCGCACATATAATTATATGTTACGAAGCAGTATATTTATAACCATAAAATACTACATAAAAAAGGGAAAAAAACGACAAAGAATATTGATCAATAAAATATTAAATAACACGGTAATGTTGTTAGTGCGTTTTTAGTCTTGAGTTTCCCCTTTTCTCAATGAAATTATTTTAGGTAATCTTGATAAATACTCGTTAAAAGTGTATGAGTCAAAATTTTTATTCTTTATTTTTAATTCATAATTTTTTTAATCCAATAATTACACTAATAAAAATATATTTATCAATAATAATAAATAAAGATCCGAACTCATACACTCTTAAGAGTAAATTCTATAATTTTCTCAATAAACTTCACACCTTTAGAGACGGGCCTTAATTTTATGCACAAATTAAATGACAATTATGTTATAGGGCATAAAAAAGATATTTTTCAATTCATAATTTAAAGTGTTAGATTACACTACAATTGTGTTAAATTTAAAAAAGTTTATTAACTTAAAAGAAAATCGAACGATTGAGAACTGTGCACCTATCACATTTCTTTTTCTTATCCTATCTAAAAAAAAAAAAAAATTCTAAATTTTACAATGTGGTCAGTACTCTATTGTAAATTAGTATGAACATTCCGGGACCATAGTAAATTATTTTACAATGGTCTAAGAATGAACAAGATTTTCAAACCATAGACGTGCTGGCAATAGTATTGTATGTTTTATCTCTACCTTATTCTTTACGAAATAGATTGCAATCTCCTAACTATGTCATGAGAGCGTTTTATACACGTCTAGTTGTTGGGACCCCCAGCAACTTAGATTTTGTGGATGGAATATTTGAAAACCATAGGCTTTAGAGGGGGGGAAAAAAAAAATCCAAGAAAGAGCAAAAAGCAGAGACCGACAAAATTGGTAGCTTATAGTGGCATTGGGCGTGGGCCTAACTAGTTTGATAGATGAAAAATATGGTGTTTGAATCCTAGAGGGAGAGTGCTTCTAGGTATAATCTAACGGTGATTACACCTCACGCTTTTATAAAGTGAAAAGTCAAATTCCCTCTTTTATTAAAAAATTATTTTTTAGCTTACATTTTAATATTCAATCATTAACTCGTTAAGGTCTGTTTAATTCGCTTCGTTGATTCGAGTTGAGATGTAATTTTATGTGAAAATTTTTTACTGTAATAAAAAAGTTAGATGTGACTATTTTTGAAAGTTTTTTACTGTAACAAAACTTAAATTCTACTCAAATCGGTGAAATGAACAATATCTAATTTTTATTGAGTTAGTTAGGGGTGTTCGCCGTCGTTTTGAGTGGTTTTTTTTTAGAGTCTACCAACCAAACCAAAAATAATTTTTTCTTTGAGGCAATTTGGACGGTTTGATAATTTTGATAAAAACCAAATTAAACCAAATCACTCATAAGCAGTTTGAGCTTAAGGCTAAAAAGGTTTTCAGTAATTCATAAAAATTATAAAATCATTAATCCATGAAAATAAAAATAAGATTCAAGTTTACAATATAATTTAAAAATAGCAAAGGTCTAAAAGTTCACCTTTCAAACCAACAAAAATATGATAGGGTGTATTTATAAGTTTAGAACTTTTATTATGACCAATAAAAACTAAAATAAATAGAAAATATTTTTAAAAATAAAAATTATATATGTATATTTTTAAGTGAATTATTAGGCTGTTTGAGCTGTTTAAGGAGTCCAAACCACAGTCCACAAACTACACCATCTAAAAAAATTAGATTAAAAAAGTGACCAAATTGTCTAATAATTTAAAAATAATTAACGATTTAGTTCGGTTTGATTTAGATTAAACTGTTTTTGCCATTTGACAGTTTTTTTAAACAGCCCTAGAGTTAGGTTAATGCTGATATTTTTGGGTATGTGAGTGTCTACAATAAGTTCCAAGTAAAAAAATAAAATAAAAATAAATAAAAAAAGCGGTGGATTTTGATAGGTCAGGATATGGTCTAATTAATCCGTGTAATTACTACCAATGTTTTTTACCAAAGTTTCAAAAGCGTGGGAGGACAGAACCAGGAAAGCTCAAAAAGATTCAATTAGCTAGGTTGTCACCTTTAGTGGATTTCCCGTTGAGAGATTGTGAACATCTTGAGCCAGAACGAAAATCAATAAATAAATTGGGTAATTGGTTTGCACCAACTTTTATTTAATAGTTTCTTCTTTGTGGGAACATAGAGGGTTTTCTTTGTGCGGATAAAGTATAATTTTTAGAAAAAATAATGTATTGTCAAGCAATTGTGACATTAAAAAATTATTACAAAATATACCATGCATATTGCATATCCATATATCAGATGCAATGTTCTCCACTGGGTTTCTTAGTACGTCTACTTTCTTATTCCTAGTTTCTTATATGACTAAAAATGACCAACATGGTATTAAAAATAAAAATAAAAATAAGATAATGATCACACACTTAAAAAAAATAACAGCGTGTAAATTTTGAATAAGAAGACGATGATTCATATTAATTGTGGCTAATAATTAATCATCAGATAATCAAGGCGATAAATAAGAAATGATAAACAATTTGTAACATCCTAGGTATAGATTAGAAGATTGTTTTAAAACAATATGTAGAATACTTTTGTTAGTTAATTAATCATTCAATTCTCTCAAGTTCCTATTTATTAATCAGTGTTGGAGGTGCATAGGTCTCAGCACGAGGATGCAGCCATGCTGCTTGTATCCGAGAGTAGGTTATGAACGATGCTCGTAGGCGTGGATTGGGATACATGTGTGCAAGAAAGAATTCATAGGCCTGCAAGATGGCTTGATTGTGAGGAAGGTTGGCCTTGACTCGAGGAGTATTTGCGCCATATGGCCGTGAAAATTAGTATCAGAGTCTCATCCCAGATCCAAGGTAGAAGAATGTTGACATTTTCTCCTTAAACGACTATATTTTGGTTATTGCTTACACTTTTATCGGCACAAACTTAACTCCGGTGACTCATGTGACCTCCAGACAAACTTCAGAAGTCGGCAGCCTAACAAAAGCCGGACCACAGACCCCAAAACCTTCTTTGTCTATTTGCTTTCATACCCTCTCTAACTTTCTCTGTCTACAAGTCGGGTTTTTTTACACAAATTTTTTTTAAGAATCTATAAGAGAAACTCTCTAATAATAATCAAAATAGGAAGTTGATGATATTAGCTGGTCTAAAAAAAATAAAAATAAAAATAAAAAAGTGATAACGACTACACGTAATGATTTATGAGCCAAAAACGCAGAATTTATTATTTTATAGCGTGTGTTTTTTAACACGTCAACCGTGATGGGCCCACGGAAACTTCTTCATATTCATCAGCCAGCTTAGAATCTCTGTACCAGAATTTGAGATTATTATTACTATGGCTCCAATGTAACAATAACTTGCTGATAAGTAAAAAAAAAAAAAAAAAAAAAAAAAAAAAAAAAAAAAAAGTAATAGTAAAACCAATCACTTTGTACAAACAAAACAAAACAAAACGAAAATTCTGGTTTGCTCTTAAAGAATGCTTGCGTTGAATCCCAAAAGGTCTCTCTTCCTCAGCTGTTGTTCCTTACTCCCCCAACTGGCCTGCCTTTGTCTAGCTATCATCATTGGTAAAAAGACCCACCAACCTGTTTCTTCTTCCTCAAAAAGAAAAGCCCAGAATATATATATTTATATATATATAGCTTTTTTCTTTCTCTTTCCTTTTTGGTGGGTTTTTTATTTTCCTTTTCTGTATTTTTTTGGCTGGCGTTGAAGGCCTTGAATCTTGATGATTCTCGGGGGTGCCAACTCTCTCTTCTCAATTTGCAGGGATGCAGCTGGAGTCGCCGGTGTGGTGCTCTTCTCTCTGTCTCTCTCTACGTATTCTTGGTTTTTTTTTTTTTTTTTTTTTTTTTTTTTTAAATGATGTTAATGGTTGAACTCTTGTTAAATTGTGCACAAAATTGAGAACCCATGTTGTCATTTTTAGAATTGGGAATGGCCATTTGGTCATTGCCAACAGAAACCTATTTTGATTCTTGTTCTATCTGCTTCAGTTTTTGTTTCTTTTTTTTCCCCTGATGAATACTTAGACTTCATTTTGGGTAGGAAGAAAGCTTTTGTTGAAAGCTGAACAAGGAGGTTCTTGAGACACAAGAAATATATATCGTTGGCAGTGCCTGCAGTAATTTCCTCGGAGTTGTTGCTTGCCTTTGATTTGTGTTAACGCAGTTCTGGTTGCTAGAATTTTCTTGTTTTGCTTTTCTTTGCAAATAAGGGGTAGGATGGTTCAAAATTTACTGGGGAAAAAAAAAAAGCTAAGGCTTTTTCAACCCCAATTTACTGAGGAATTTCAGTGTCAGAAATGAGGCAGCCTTTACTTAAGTCGTTTGAGGTAACTTAATGCTTCTGAATGCAAATATTAACTGATTTTACATCAACACAAGAGGATTATAAAAAAGCCTTTTGAACCAAATCTTAGGGGCTTTGGGGTGAAATGAAAGGAGTGGATTTTTAGCATGCTGTTAAAGCATTCGACAATTGAAAGCAAGGATGCTTTCATAATGAGTTTAGCTGAAATCTTTGAAGCATTTTTTTTTTTTTTTTTCACTTCATGGATATAAGCTGTGTCTGAATTAGCATAACCAGAGTTCTTATGTTAGACTTCTAATATTAATTTTGCGTCGCTTGCATGGTTTCACATGCACTGTTGGGCAAATTGTGCTTACAAACTGCTTTGACTTTGTTAATAAGTTTCAGAATGAATCAGAAGTTGAGATGCAGGGTTAAAATGTCAAGTATTGAAGACAATATTCTTACGTTTTTATGAAAGACAACTGGATTGATGTGCTCTAACGGTAGTCTTTGTCTTTCTTGCAGGGAACCTCTTTGCTTTCGGGCTGTTTGTGTCACCTGTGTAAGTTTTACCCTATGTAAGCTAATTTCTTTAGTAGGACTTGTAACATTAGAAAGCAAGAGAACAATGAGGGAATTGAATTTAATCTCCTCACTGGTCTATGTATTCTTTTCTTTCGACTTCCAGACCCACATTTAGGAGAATTGTCAGAAACCGTTCAACAGAGCAATTCTCAGGGATACCATACATTTATGCCCTATTGAACTGCCTGGTCACTTTGTGGTATGGAACGCCTCTCATATCTCCGGACAATGTATTGATTATGACGGTCAATTCAGTCGGTGCACTTTTCCAATCAGTCTACATAATCCTCTTCATAGTTTACTCTGATAAGCCAACAAAGGTTGAATACTTCTTATAGTAGACTTTGAGGTTTCTAAAACACTTATATGTTTTTTCTTTAATGTTTTCTTGTTGAATACTTCTTATAGTAGACTTTGAGGTTTCTAAAATACTTATATGTTTTTTCTTTAATGTTTTCTTTTAAATATTGATGGCAGGTGCGTGCACTTGTATTACTGCTGGCAGTTTTTAGCATATTTGGAGTAGTAGTGGGTGGGAGCTTGCAAATAATTGATCCTCTGATTCGGCGGAACGTAGTTGGATTGATGAGTTCTGTTTGTCTCGTATCAATGTTCGCTTCTCCATTGTTTATAATTGTGAGTTTACCCCAAAATCGTTTAGTTCATTTCTGCTAATGGGCATTCTATATCTTAAAATGCTAATTTGTTTGTATATTACTTAAAACATTTTTCCTCAGAATTTGGTGATCCAGACAAAGAGTGTTGAATATATGCCATTTTATATTTCCCTTTCCACCTTCCTAATGAGCACCTCTTTCTTTCTTTATGGAATCTTGAATTATGATGCCTTCATCTATGTAAGTTTCCTTCAGCACATCAACATTTAGTGCTTTCATTTATTTAACTTTCCCATGTGTCTAATTGATCTTTTTGTTTAATTTTTAGGTTCCAAATGGGATAGGAACAATTTTGGGGATTGTACAATTGGCGTTGTACTTTTACTATAAGAATTCAGCCGCAGAAGACTCTAAAGAACCATTGATAATTTCCTATGAATAAGTACATCTTCCAACAAGGTAAAGTCAACTAAGCAAGTGAAAAACTCTGTTTTGTTGATGAATTGTTTTGGGGACAATTCTTCATTGTTACCCTGGCTATATCTAGGACTGAATTTATAGTTAGTTCTTTCATGAGCCCGATTCGCGGAATGCAATTTAAATAGGTGGCAATGACCCTTCTGTTCCATGCATTGTTCCATTCTCTTCATCAATTAGTGATTTTTTATTTGCATTTCCCAATTCATATGTGCCAAAATTGTTTTCAATCGTATGCAAAAGAAAGATAAATGTTATTTTGCTCATGTATGATTACTCATAAACGTGAAAAATATGTCCCGAAAATTCATGTTCTTGAACTTTCAAGCCGCTTCGTGATTCTTATTTTGCTTCCTTGCCCTATTTGTTTGCAATGTGCCCGCATCTACACAACTTCAGTACTAACATGTCCTATCCTACAATCTCTTTGACCAACGGAAAAACATGAAATATGAATTCCGCATTGTAATACTTGTGAGCAATGTGTTGGAGCAAACAAAAACGAAAGGCAACAAAATTGCAGAAGATTCAGAAAACATGAAGAATACACGGACAAAACAAGCAATTTTCTTGCCTTTCATTTTGGTTTGCTCGAAGCTCTCATTTTTCTCTGTTTTCTTCTGACTAAGAAACGTAGAATCCCAGAAAATGTGTTTGGTTTTTGCAGTCTAATTATCATTCTGACTCAAAGTTAGCACACAGATTGACCTTGAAAGTGAACTACAATAAGTCGTGTGTATGCCATATTTATTTTTGTTCTTCACGTTTTTTCATATTGCTATGGGATAGTCGGCATTTATGGGCCATTTCCAAGCATAATAAAAAAAAAATGTCTGTCAAATAAGGTTGAAACTTTGTCAAAAGATGAGCAGCTTCCTTTGAAAACGAATTAACCTGATAAGCAACCACTTTTAATAGGGAGGCAAAATTCCTTTGGAAAAAAAGAAAAATAACGTCAATGGAAGAGTCAAGTGTCCGTGTTTTCTCTTCAGTTATGTTACACTCTCTGTGAGATCATGTGGGCAACAGTTCTATATCTTCCTAGCAAGTAGCAATCGTACTTGATTTATTTTTTACGTATGTTTACATTTTCCCAGTAAAATAGACATGATTTATTATGCTTTTTTGCTTAATTTTTGGCGAGGGAATGGTTGTGGTGTCCTTTAGTAATAGGTTATAGGTTGTTAATAATAATAATAATAATAATAATAATAATATTATTATTATTATTATTATTATACGTATTTCATGAATAATACTAAGTTCCATTATTTTCTTTTGTGTCAATACAACATCACATTATTCTAAAAACCAAAACCAATGTTATTCTGGGTTTTTTTTGTTTTATTTTAATGCTATGAAAAAAAAAAAAATTTAACCGTTAGTATAAAAGAGTGTAGTTCTTCCTCTATCTTTTATGCCAATTTATTTTCAACTAAAATATTTTATGCGGGAAGTTGGAGGAAGAAAATCTTTTATGAGCAAATAGCACTAATTAAGTGGGGTCATTAGCATAAAATCTCTCTTTATGTAATCAAGTATGCCCTTTTGTGGAACTTGGTAAGGTCACTTGGTATCCTGGAAAATCACAATCTGAGATTTCTGATTGTGGAATTCTGGCAGCCTATTGTGTTGGCCGGCTCCACTCCACACCACAATGAGAAAAAGAACAAACTAAAGCCCCTTCTAATAATTTTTCATTTCTATTCAGGTCAGTTCTTTTCGAAATGAAAAAATGATAATAATAATAATAATAATAATAATAAATAAATAAATAAATTGGCCATCCATACTACTTTACTTTCTAGGTCGTCTCTTTAGTTAAAGTACTCCTGCCTGGTTAGTTAAAAGAAAAAGAATAATGCTAAGGAATACTAACTTAAATCTCAATTTTTTTATACAAACTGATGTGATATGTGAGTTGTTACTTTTATATTAGTGGTTGTTTAAACATTATCACATCAATTAATGAAAGAGTTGCATCTACTAATAAAAAAACACATGTCATATCAAATGGTACACAAAAATTAAGATTTAAGTTGGTGTCCCTAACATTGCTCTAGTTAAAATACCTCTTTTTATGTACTCGTAAAGTTCATTCATATTTTTCATATGAAGGAATAAGACAAAAAAAAAACTATAAAACTCTACATTGGCTAAAATGAGACGGAGTTCTATATTAAGAGTGAATTATTAGGGATTTGTTTGTTTCATATACTCAAACTCAAATCATTGATTCTGTTATAATGTTGTCCTCTTACGAAAAATTTAAATTTCAAACGTCAAAATTAAGAATCATAATTTGAGTATACATTTTAAACGATCTGTAGAAATCTCATGTGTATTTATCTTTATGGAATTTTCTCCCGTGTGATCCCTTTTTGGCACTACCATGGTTTATGTTAAAAGGAGTTTGACTCCGCTTTGATTGACTCTGAGTAGATGCTCTAGACCTTGTCGTGGTAGGAGTTGATGCTTCTTCAGCCAAAAAAAAAAAAAAACAGAGAAGTTGTTGTTGAACTTCATCTTAGTTCTTAATTAATACTCTTTTAATTAATATAATTATTTATTTAAAAAATTATTAATTAAGAGTAAGAAATAAAAATTTAAATTCATACACTTTAAATATATTTGTCTCCTATCTCAAGAAATATATTTGGGATTAGAGACTAAAAAACAAATCTGGATTTTTTATTTAGAGGTCCGCAAAAGAATGGCAGGAGATGGGAGAGAAATTTGCTAGAGTATCTACCCAACAAAGTGGAATTGACAAAATAATTTTTTTTTTATTTTTTATTCTTTATAAAAGTGACGTAATTGAAAATCTTTTGAAAGAAATTTCACTAATAAAAGTTTCTTATTAAGAGTCATTTTTACATAGAGCTCAGTCGTCACTTATGACATCCGGCATGTGAAGGACAGTTGCCCTCCGTAAGGTATTTGGTGGGACCTTTGGTGGTCTGAGTATTTTGAGTTGTGGTTGAGTGAGTTCAGTAATTTTGTCGGTGGAACAACGTGCTCACAGCGCTGCTCGGCAGGTTTGGACTACGGGATAGCCCAGATGAACAACTGATGTTCTGGAGGCGGAGAAGGTTCCATTGATTTCTGAGATATCAAGGCTCTTAGATTGAGGATGCTCGTTGTTTTTTTTTTTTTTTTTTTTTTTTTTTTTTTTTTTGGCTTAAGAAAGCTCATTGATGTTTTGGAAAATTTTATTTTGATACTTGTATTGTATCAAAATATGAATTTAATATCTTGTTTTTTTTATAATTTTATGCGGATATTTTAATGTTTTAAAAAACTCTTTATTAGTACACTAGACTTTTTTGGGGACATAATGACATTTCTACTCTTATACTTAATTTGTCCAGATTATTTTTTTACCAATCATTAAAATATTTTTAAAAACATAAAATAAAATAAAAAAACTAACATCTCTAAAATATCTCTCTCTTTCTTGACACTATACAATAATAATAATAATAATAATAAAACAACAACAGAATCCGAAAATCAGATTCAGCTTCTTCTACCAAAAATCCACAGTTTGCTTTGGTTGTTTTTGGCTCTTCGTGAGCGTTGCTGTTTTGTGTTGTTGGTTCTTGGTTTTGAATGCTTATTCACCACACACACACACACACACACACACACACACACACAAAAATCCACAATCAGAATCAAAGTTAACAAACAATCAAATTTTAAAACTCTTAATGTTTCATCGACCAACAAAATTCCAAACCAATATATACTCTTCATTTTGCATCTAATTATCAAGAAGAGAGAGAGAACACGGGTTTGCAGATCTAGGTACTTTCTTTCCCAGTTGGCGCTGCCGTCAGTCTCAGAGCTTGGTGAACCTGCGCCCGAGACCCAATGCTCGAGATCTTCGACTGCCTCTGGTCGTTGTCGCCAATGATTGATCAGAGCGCGTCGGAGAGGTGATGATTAGACAAAGTCATGTGCAGATCATAAACTACTGTTTGATTCTTAGGTCGAACAGAAATTCAAATTTTCTTAGGAGAAAACACAATTGCAAAAAAGTTTGATTTATGGTTAAGATTACTCGAGGTATCACATTAAGTTTAGTTGGCCTGTTTCATGTCCACTACAATGGACGTGGTGATTTAGGGGCAACCTAGCCATAGTATTCGTTGTTAGTTATTTATCTCCCGTCGATCCCTTAGACGGGTTTCACCTAACTAGGGCATAATCAATAATCATGAAACAAAAACATATGGTCCTTCAGACGTGACAACTATAAATCATGTGTGCATTAATGTTATTTGGGATTTTAATGCAGAAGAAAATTTGGTCCACATTCCACGACTGAAACTCCCCCACAAACATTTGCTTAATTCTCACAAACTAGTCACTAGAAAGAAGAAAAAAAAATACTCCTCAATCACAGCAAATCTCTCAGAGTTTTCCTTACAACATTAGTGGCTGTACTTTTTTCCTGCATGGCAAACGAAAGTAATGCTTGGAGTTATAAACTTGATTAATTAGAAAAAGTCTTGACAAAAAAGAATAAATTTTCAGGAGGAACTAAAACTGTCCGATTCCCATTTGAGGCATCTGATTTAGATCTGAATTTATTTGCGTTACAAGATCTGCACTAAGCTCTTGTTTATCTCTAAATTAGTCTAACCTGTACATGCACGTACAAAAGTAAGACTAGAAAAGAAAAATCAACTTATTTATAATAGTTCACTTCATGAGAAAGATTTTAAGAATTGTGTATCACTATGGAAGAGTAAAAAATATATATTATAGTATATAGTTTTACTACCATGTACATAGAAGAATATGCCAAATCTGAGTCTCTCAAATGGCAAAATTAAGTATAGATAGACTGACATACAGTATATAGGTAGGTGAAAACTTTTAACTACAATTGTTGCATCATGCAACACTTAACATCACGTAACATCTTTCAGCATTTAAATTCATTAACAAATACTAATATTATCCTTTTTCATTAAAAAAAAGAAAAAAAAAATACTGAATGATGTTGTTATTATTATTATTGTTGTTGTTTTTATTATTATTTTTGGCAAAAAAAGATACAGAGTGATATTATTAAGCACTATATGGTGCTAATTAAACCCTTGCATTCATAGACCAAATAAATCATAATTTTGCTTTAGATATACTAGCAATTTAATCCAGGTATAGTGTTAGATATTGACTCGTGTATGATGTATATTTACCTACCTTTTTTGTTACATAGCTCAACCAGTATTTTGAGCTAAGGTCCATAAAATGATTAGCATAACTTGAATATAGTTCTTCTTCCTAACGTAAATACAAAAGAACGTACTAGTCAGAAGAAAAAATAAAGTACCTGGTTTGTAGTAATTTTGTGTGAACTTCCTTTGCGAGCAACATCACACAGGAGGTGTCCATTCTCATCATAAAGAATAAGTCCACTAAACCTAGGAAGCTCACACTTCTCCCCCATGAGTATCGGCCGCTGCCACACAGGCGATTCCGAGTCATAATCATCAAAGTCCGGCCTTATCATCATCTCCTTCTCCATCAGCAATGGCAATGGCGTCTCTCTGCTCCATGAGCTCCCTGCACTAGTACTCATCATCGCGCTGCTCTCCCCAGGCCGCCACTTGCTCGCTCGGCTCCACCGCAGCGAGCTCATCAGCACCCTCTTTATCGCCACCCACCCGCATGCTGGATCTTCTGGCGGTGGCCAATCCTCCCCACTGTCAATAATCAGATGTTGCTTCCTTGGCGGCGTAGTTTTCCGCGACTTTAGACGTCGTAGAAGCATTGCCGTCATTGCAACACAGAGACCAAGGACGCCGGAGGCGGAGAAGAGGAGGAGGAGTAATGCTTGTTTGGTTGAGAGCTTCCATTTGTCTTCTAAACTCCATACAGCTTCCATGTCATTAGCTTGAAGCTATTTTCTTGTTAGTAGGAGGAAAATTTGAGAAGCTGTTGATAAGGAATATATATAAAACTGTGGGCTGATGGGAATTATTGGGTGTTGACATTCACGTGAGGCCCACCGCCTAATTGGGTTTAGGCCCATTAATTGGTGGCTTATTTATGCTTTTAGCCGTTGGGAAAATTCTCACCGATTAAAGCTAATAAAGACTTCTCACGGGGTTCCCATGCTCGCTATTAAACGCCAAAAGGAGTAATAAGTTCAGAAATCAGAGATTTCACTTCACACTTGTTATTCAACTGGAAGATGTCATTGATTGAACGGAAAAAGAATATATATATATATATATGAGGTTGGCTATAGTCCTACGAAAATATAATTCCACCAATTCCATAAGAGTGTTTGAACCATTGACATTTTGTTTGTTACATTATTTAAATTAGATCCAACGGTGAGCATTCAATAAAGGCATTAAAGGCCATTGTTTTAGTCTCTAAGGGTGCGTTACGTTAAAGTATGAGAATAGGAACGGTAATGGTGATATAATAGAATAGAAAAGTAATGCCTTTATTTGGTTATGAATTTTAAAAGCCGGTGGAATGAAGTATAATTATTGTTACTTTGACAAAATTACCCCTCTTCTCAGCACCATGTTTGTTCATCAAAAATCTCAGCCAAATAAATAAAAACAAATTGATGCCTACCAGAGAAAACCCATCGGACTAGCACCAAAAAGACCCTTCAGACATGGAAGCATGTCAGAGAAGGTGAGAGTAGCAGGAACGAGGAAGGCAGCGAAAGTGCTCAACGATTGAGATAGAAAGTCTAAGATGAGCACCTATGTTTGTCAGAGAACATTGGATCTGGAGAGGAGTGACGGATCTAGTGAGGAGAGTGGCACTCAGGCGACAAATTGATGAGGCAAGCAGCCGATTTCGGCAAGTAGAGCGGCGGAGTTGCACTTTGGGTCTCTTTTTTTTTTAAATCTTTTTCTTTTCAACTGGTTCTTGAATGATTTTTCTTGTAAATATGGCATTTTGGGTCTGATGGTTTTTTTTTGTACTGCCTCTGGAATCAATATTTATAATGGGTTTTTGATGATTCAACGTGGGATTGTCTATTTTGTGGACTTTACTAACTGCGAAAGTCCATTTCTATATATGATGAACCATTTGGAAGAGTATTCGAAAAATCCTTGCCTGAATGAATGTTCAAGGCTGGGTGGCTCATGAATTTGTTCACATCTTCATCTGGGTCCCTTTCGTTTTTGCGTCATCAGTACACTTTTCTATTTCAGTAAAGGAGAACGGCGACAATGAGGGTGGAAGGAGGAATAGAAGTTGGCGGAGGATGGCTGTTAGGTCGACGATCAATCGAGGAGGGCTTTGCAGGAGCAGCGACGGCGCGCAGACCGTAGTCCATTTGAGGACAATGGTGGTGGGGCGGAGAAGGACAGACATAAATGATGGTGATGTTAAGAAAGGGAAAAAGGATGAAGGGTAATTATGGAAAAGAAAAATAAAATAAGGATGGAATGACAATTCCTTCCGCAAATGGATGGAATGATGATTCAGTTAAAATGAGGAAAAAGTCATTCCTTCATAAAAGCTATTACTTATTTAAAAGCCAACTAAACAGCTGAATAAATTCCATTTCCTTTTTATTTCATTCATTTCCCCCCAATTAAACACATCCTAAGTAGCAACCGGTGAACACTAGAATTAAAAATTAAGTTTCAAAACCGATTTCCTAAGCTACCTATCTAATTAGGTTAGGACAATTTTTAAAAATACCATTTGAAATAGAGCCTCTTTTTATTTTTACTCATTAATATTAGCTCGCATATTTCTACTTTTTATACTATAAATAGAATTTTTAAAAAAAAATACTTTTAATAAGTCAGATACTTAACAAAATAGAATATTAAATTTTCTCATTTACTAATTAAGCATGCATGGCGAACATGCATTAATTGTAGATAACCAGGCTTAGACCAAAGTACACTAAACTAGTTTGGGCTGGACTTGAGTGTTTTAAATGGTTTTTTATATTATTTTATTTTATTTTATTTATAAGAAGAAAGTGAAAAATAAACCAAGTAGACTGAAGATAAGCCATTTAAACTGTAAATCTGAAATTACCACTTATCTAAATTACTAAAACATCCTTATATAATATTCTCAAAAAAGAAAATATCCCCATATAACTTACTCATTCCCATGTAACGCACTCTCTCTCCCCTCTCCTTCTTTCTCTCTCCTGCTCTCTCTAATTTTCTCTTCGAAGATCTCCGCTCTCTCTCTCTCTCTTCTACAAGAATTGCGACAGTGCGGCGGCTATGATTTCGTTGTCGGCAACATCATCGCGCGAATACAAGATATTTATTGATTCTCCTCGCCTCTCCCTCCTCATTTTCTCTCTCCTCTTGTTGTCATCTAGATCGTAGATTGGGCAAATTGTCTGTGAGATCCATCGGTGACGATTTTCTGGTTTTGTTCAAGTCAATAATCTGAATCTAAATCTGGCCAGGCGCTATCAGCAAGGTTTCTGGCAATCCTCCATGGTTAGGTCAACGCGAAGAAGATAGATGTTCAGCCATTTTTTACAGCGCGGAGAGAGAAAGATGAATTACAGGAAGAGAAAGGGAGGGACAGATATTGTTGGGAGACAGAGAAAGGACAAGAAAAGTCTTAGATAAGGGTAAAATTGAAAAACGAATTGCTTCAAGTTCAAATTGGCCTATTAATTTTAACATTTGGTAATGGGTTATTCCATTTGGTAGGAGATGAACTAATTCTTAGTAGCAAAAGCTATATTTGGTCGGGTACAATTTGTAAAAAATATAAGAACTCTAATTACAATTAGCTATGATACTTCAGGATTAAAGACTTCTTGTTTTCTTCGCAAGGGCGAAATAGATCCCTTTCAATTCAATATTGGATATTTGGTTAGAGAATTCAAACCATGATTTGAATCATAATTCATGATTCGCTACAGTATTTTTTCTCACAAAAAATACACGTAAATCAAAAATGATTCTAATCACATGATTCTAATCTATGAACCAAACGTCTCCTAAGTTATCTAACAACTATGAGGAAACTTAAAGGATTTGCTTTATCTATGTTAGAGCGTTTTAAGACCTTTTTATTATAATTTGATTGATGCACAAGTATTCCATTTTCAAGATGCTCAACCTACAAAACCAAGACAGTATTTGATTTTTTCAAAGTCCTTCATTTCAAATTCATTATTTATGTATATCTCGCGAGTAGACGAGACATATTTCGCCTAGACCATGAGGTTGCCGTTGACAGTGATTCTCCTAATGGTTATGGGAGAAACCCATCTTGCAAGTAGATACAACAGCTATGAGAGTCAAGCAAGTTTTTGATTCGCCTTCTGACTCTCTCTCTGTCTTTAGGTTTTTTTTTCTTCCTTTTATATCACCTCCAGAATGGGCACAAAACTCTCAGATCCAAGATAGGCGCGCTGCAGCCCATGCATGCGCACTGCAACGCGCCTCAAAGAAGACTAGGGTTTTCCATACGCGCGCTGCAACCCATGAATGCGCGCTGTAACGCGCGTTGAGACCTTGCTGGCTGGTTGGCAGGCACGCTGTAGCACCCTTTGGATTTCTATAGTCTGTCTCAGGCTGTAGCTTGCTCCTAGTGCGCTGCAACCCACACAAATGGTGATTTTCATAGACTTCTTTATCTTTTTCGCTCGATTTTCTCCACTTTGTAAATCCTACAAAATAAATTAACATAAACATAAAACTAGTGACAAATTAACTGAAATTTGCTCAAAAACTATAATATATGACGGGGATAAATTGATGAAAAATCAACTTATCAAATACCCCAACACTTAAGCTTTTGCTAGTCCCGAGCAAAACAATGTAAACAAAAGAACGGAAATAACTAAAACACAAAAGGCAATGCTAACAAATTTAAACCTGACGCGAAACGAACGGAATAAAACAAACAAAACAAAACAAAGCAAAAATAAAGAGTGAGTGTTCCACATATCTCGATGATCATTCTTTGGTCCTCAACATCTCCTAAAATCTCGAGTTTTTATGCAAGGCGATCCCTTGTGATGTTCTAGAATATCAACATGTTGGATGCACACAAAAACACTCAAGTCTCCCGCCTCACACTCAAGCATCCAGTACCCGGATTCACTTATTCAACTTAGAAGTCCATGATTAAGTAACTTAAAGCTTAGGATTCCATACGCCCAACTTCGTTCCGCTCTCCACTAAGGCAGGATAAACTAGTTTTGGAGATCAAAAGGACTTTGCTGTAATGTTCGACTAGGACAGGACTAAAGGTGGTAGAGAAATGGACTTTATATATATATATATATATATATATATTTTTCTTCAAAATAATAACAATACAGATATTTACAAACAGTTTTCCCTCTAAGCATAATCACCCCTCCAGGTTCACTCACATGAGGAATCTCCGTGCTCCTTCGACTCATACGTAGACCAAACAGGCTAAAGCTCAATGGGGACATTCAAGGAATACAATCCAAAAGGTAAGCATAGGAAGGCTCAATCGATCCAAAGAAACGCCTAAATCATTTCTCTACTGACTAGCTAGCCTAAGATTTCGCCTCTAGTTTCCCTAAGTTGAGTTCTAGAATCCCTAATGTACCACGGACTTGATTAATTGAATAATTTTCCTCTAGGTCCCTAAATGATTAGTGATAAAGTCTTTTCTTGCCAGAACTAGAGTGTTTCATGTTCACCAATTGTCAAACACACGGAATTCACAAACGACACATTGCATAAAAACTCAGGGAAATTAGGAGATAATGTCATCATTGGTTCATTGATCATCAGGGCAGAAAAACAACTCACTAGAAAGAAAAAAAAATTTATATATATATATATATATATATTGAAATAAACAAGCTAACAAACACAAACTGAATAAACAAAGGCCTCGTTCATTTCACCGATTCGAGTTTTCAGTTTTAAGTTTCTACAATAAAAAGTTCTCAAAAAATGTCACATCTCACTTTTTTCTGCTACAGTAAAAAGCTCTCAAAAAATATCACATCTCAACTCAAATTGAAAACTCGAATCCGCGAAGTGAACGAGGCCAAAATGATCAACACAGAATCTAAATTAAACACTTCAAATAAACAAACGAAAACACAAACAGATTAACAAGTATTGATACAATCTAGAAATTCCCCCACACTTACAAGATACATTGTCCTCAATGTTATTAAAATACAAGCCAACAATGAAAATGTAATTGAAGAATACCTGGGAGGCGAGATATGACTCTCGCCTCCTAAGGGTGGTCCTCATCCATGTCGTGCGGAGGTGGTGGTGGCTGCTGATAGCTGGGCTGCGGTTGCTGCTGGAAGCCCGGCCAATAAGTCCTCCGGATATGCTCAGGGGGAAAGGAGGGACACGCGAATAGACATTGACGTCGTAGCCCGCATCAATACGAGCTTGGATCGATTGTTCCTTCCTATGCTTACCTTTGGTGGGTGTTAGAAAATAGAGGAGTGTATATGAGGTATATTAAGATAATTAAGGACATGTACGATGGGGTGGTCACGAGTGTGAGGACTGCTGGAGGCTACACGACAGAGTTCCCCGTTCGGATTGGCATTCATCAAGGATCTGCTCTTAGTCCTTATCTTTTCACCATCGTGATGGATGAGCTGACAAGAGAAATCTAAAATAGAATTCCTTGGTGTATGCTTTTTGCGGATGATATAGTTTTAGTTTATGAGCATACGGAAGGAGCTAACCGTAAGTTAGAACTGTGAAGACAGACTCTCGAGACGATGGGATTTAAGTTAAGTAGGACTAAAACTGAATACATGCATTGTAGGTTTAGTAACTCAAGTAATCAGAGTGATGGAATTTCTTTAGATGGTGTAGAGATTGAGGCTTCTAGAAAGTTTAGGTACCTTGGGTCTATAGTGCAGTACGAAGGAAATATAGAAGATGATATTCAACATAGAATTAAGACAGGGTGAATTAAGTGGAAGAATGCTACGGAAGTTTTATGTGACAACAAGATGCCTATTAAGTTGAAAGGAAAGTTCTATAGGACTGTAATCCGTCCAGCTATGTTATATAGTAGTGAATGTTGGGCCATTAAGAAACAACATATATCTAAGATGAATGTGGCAGAAATGCGTATTTTAAGATGGATGAGTGGTCATACGAGAATGGATCGCATAAAGAATGAAGTTATTCGTAGTAAAGTAGGTGTAGCACCAATAGAAGATAAAGTGCATGAAGGCCGCTTAAGGTGGTTCGGGCATGTCCAACGTAGACCGCTAGAAGCACCAGTCCATGCTTGGAAGGACATTCTTATACCTAATACTAGGAGAGGGAGGGGTAGACCAAGAATTACGTAGACCGAAGTCGTTAGAAAAGACATTCTAGATCTAGGCCTTCAGGAAAATATAACTTCAAACAGAGCCGTGTGGAAAAGTAAAATCTATATAGCCGACCCCAATTAAGTTGGGATTAAGACTTGTTGTTGGTGTTGTTGTGCGTAGAATACTGTGTGAAGTACAAGACGGGGACCACATTGAGACGGACGCTATAACCCCAAAAAAGGAACAACGGAATAATTGCTTAGTTTTCCAAGACAATTATAAATTATTATCAATACAAAATAAACTACAAAGTTCGTAGCAAGGTGCAGGGCCTCTGTAAGAGTATCACATTCATGTGAACACATTCTGTGTACAATAAGGAGATGATGAACAAAAGCACCTTTTAACAATTTCATGTAGCATTTTGCCATCTTGTTAATGAAGTGTCAAAAGAATCGACTCTGAAACTTGCAGGTATAGTATGATTTATGCCCCTTAAACTAAATCACTGGAATGCAACAGTTGGTGAACATAGACTTTCTTTTCTATTTTGAATGGTGTTTCCAATTATTCGCCTATTTTGCAGTATTACATGAAAGTAAGAAAACAAAGACAGAGAGATTCTCCAAGACCCAGGAAAATAGGGTAAATATACACTCACTCTCTAATGAAGATCAATAGAGCCTGCACTTTCCGGTTCCAACACAAACAGCACATTCATCTGCATCTCCAGCTACATGGCTTAGGCAGTGTTTAATCCTGTCATTAACAACATCCTGCAAGACCACAAACCCCCACAAACCCGATTTTCACAACCAAAGCACCATGTTTCTCATACAAATGCTGATAATTTGTAATTTGTTCCAAGTGATTAGGTGGGGATCTAATTCATGCTTCCAACTTATTCTTCTACTCACAACCTAAGAGGGAAAAAAAATGGCTACTAACACAATCACAAAGAAGATGATAATACATTGTACGAAGAATCTGCTATGAATGTTGTGTTGAACATTGGCTTGAATTTTAAGTTATGGAATGATGCAGAGATGGCAACATTGGATCGGTGACTTCCAATCATCGAAGAAGCAGATTGGCTCATCAAGGAGCAGTGGATAATTTACTTGTGCAGAGCCGGTTACAATAGTAAGTTAGAAACAGAAAATAGACATATTTCGTTCATTCTTTCTGGTGTTGTTACGTACAAATAAATACTTGATTATGTAATGCTGTAATTCGAGAGAATTTCATCCTCCTAGAGAACTCATTGTCCTGGGTAAACTCTTATAAGAGAAGCACTTAAGAGAGTTCAAAAAAAAAGATTGTCATCAGTGAAGATCTATGCGACAAGCTATTAACCCGTGGGCTTAGAACCAAATTGGATCAAACCTCATTACAATCCTCTGTTTTCTGTGCTTCTAATTTTGTCAATTTATTGATTGAGTGTAAACAAATCACTAAATTTTTATTTGTGGAACGTTATCAATGGTTTCCTGGGATTTCACAACAAAAGCCAATGGAAATAAAAGAAATACATACCACGAGTAGCTCATGGAGGCCAAGAGGTGCGGTTATGATGTATGACACGCCAGAGTGCTCCTTTGCAGCTTCAGCTGTTAGCGAAGGAATATCCTGTAAGCATTGCAAATCCAATCCATCTTACCAAACTCCCCAAGTCCGTGATGGACGCATTTTTATTTATCAAAGAATGCTAGCAGCATCCCCGGGCATTAAATTCAGTCAAGATACCAAGAAAGAGAAGTGTGCAGAGCTACCTGGTGCCAATGCCTTCCAGGAAACAGAAAAAATGGACTCACAATAACCCGACTTGCCCCTAGTTGAACACATTTATCAAAAGAGTTCCGAATTGATGGTTCTGCCAACTCCTATTTGGATACATTAATCAAATGAGAATTTGACAGATATAAAAAAGGCCAATAAAATTTGTAATCCGATATGAAACTACCATATGAGCAGGCTCCACTATTTCATATCCGGTCCTCTGTCTAAACATGGTCACAAACTCATCTGGAATTTAAACACAGGCGAACACTTTAAAGCTTTAGTTTCAAACCCCAACCAAAAACCAAACCAAAAAAAAAAAAATGCACAAGAACAAAAACCACACGAAGCCCCCTACAGGATCAGTCAAATCTGGTCATATCATGCAACACTTTTTAAGAGAATGATGGTAAAAAAGAAACCGAACTATTAAGATCTTTATTGCGGGATCCCCCGAGCAAAAGCAGCTCAAATGTTTTTAAATCGATTTCTCCATCATCCAGTGCCTGATAAATTGCTTGAATGATACGATAAAAATAAAATAAAATAAAATAAAAAGAGTGGTTTACTATAGTTCCTGGTGCAAATTTTGAATGTTATAGAGCTTACTTAGCATGAGATTCGATTCCTTGCGACGGGAACCATGGTCAACGATGATAATGGCGTCTTTTTCCCCAATTCCATGTGGGATTTGTTCAAATCCCCCATTTTCTGTTCTCAAACACAATCTTCTGATCAAATTTCTGCTTCGAAAGCAAACTCCCAGCGATTTTGAGAAATTGGGGAGAGCCCCACTAGAAGTGTTCGGTCCAGTTTCGGTAATTGAAGGACTTCATATGCATTAACAATGAAGCAATAAAATCATTCATAGTCCAACCAAACCAAAGACAAACAAATTAGAACTTTGTTGAAAATGGAGAATTCTGCAGAGTACCTTTTAACGGTAAATTGAGGAAGGAAATGGATCGATCCGATTCGCATGCTTGAGCAGCTTTCACCTGTCTTGACTAGAGAAGACTGAACAGAAAGGAGAAATTAAAAAAAAAATCAAGAAAAATAGCAAGAACCGAAACCCTAATTTTTCAATAAAGGACAACAATAGTGATTCAGCTCAAGTTAAGCACGGACACAAAAGGGATGACGATATGATGACAGGATATAAATATATACACACACACATATATACACATCGAGAGAGAGAGAGAAGAGAGAGTTGAAAGAGGGGACTTACAGTGCAATATTCAAAAAGAGACCGCCACGGCTGAGGAGGGAGATGGTGGGTCTTGCCGGGGCGACGGTGGCGCTCAAACGGCGTATCTGCTTGAGTCGGAGAAGGATAGGAGGAGAGAGAAGAGCAGGGTTGTTAAAAAAAATAATGATCCGTCGTTTAGTTTATAGATTTGAACGGACTAGATTAAATGAAAATTTAAATTTTGTGTGAAAACAGTATAACAAAAAGGTTCCTTCAGTTCTTCTGTCTAGTTAAATACACTCACATTTATCTTAAACCGAAAAGATTGTTGATTTCACTTATTTAAATTTAAAATTTATTATAATAAAAATCTCTTAAAAATAGTTATATTTAATTTTTTTATTATAATAAAAAATTCTCATATAAAATTATATCTCAACTCGAATTTATAAACTAAACAGTCATTAATTTAACACTTTTAATTTTAAATTTTATTTTTAATAAACCTTAAACTTTCTTAATTTGACACTTTTAACCCTGCACTTTGTTTTTTTAGTAACTTAATGGCGATCACAACAGCTAGCAATCGGAGATGGAGAGAGCCCAATCGGAAATGGGCTAAGAAGAGGACCTGTTTAAACCCACATCTACATCAAGCTAGTGTTGCCCTGTAATTTTTCTGGCACACCCATTCCAGTTCTTCCACGTGCAATAGTTACTTGTAGTGTAGTCAGCATTAACTATTCCGTTTTTTTCACCGATTCGAGTTTAAAATTCGAGTTTTGCTACAGTAAAAGGTTCTCAGAAATAGTCACTTCTAACTTTTTTGTTACATAAAAAACTCTCACACAACATCACATCTCAACTCGAATTAAAAACTTGAATTAGCGAACCAAGTTTAATTACATCTTTCTTGTTTGCTTACATTGCATTGATGATCAGTGGTTCTGCACAAGTCATTAGCAAACATCCTTTTTGTCTATTTTTATTTGAGCTATTGGGCATGTTTGGTTTCGTTTTTGTTTCCGTTTTTCCCGTTTTTCGAGGTTAAAAAATGAAAATGGGTAGACAAAATGCGTTTGGTGTAAAATTTTCTGAAAATTGAAAACAAAAACGCTTTTGTCTTTTTCTGAAAATCTGAAAACGAATTAAGATCGTTTTCTCCGTTTTCGTTTTTGTTTCCTTCTTCTCCCATTTGCATCTTTCGAAGCATTTCTCTCCTCACTCTCTCTCTCTCTCTCTCTCTCTCTCTCTCACTCATGAGCCTCCGCCAGCGACCATCCCCACCGTCGCGTCTGGGCCCGGTGGCGGCGGCAGGAGACCCGGAGTCGGAGCCGTACAACATAATGAAAACGTTTGCGCAATGGCTCCCGCCGCGGGGGGGG